GAAGTGGATCGGGAAAAAGCATGCAGGTAACCGGATGAAGAGAAAAGCTGTCCAGATTGCTCTATGCAAGACACTCAACATCAATTGGAGGATGAGAAACATTATGAAGTTCGAGCAAACTCCTTAGACTACACAAGATTTTGTTGTCAATATAAAGCTCTTCGTTTACAGAAATTTGTATAGCATTTATCATATACGTAGTAGCATTTATCATGTGATCAAGCATTTATCATATACGTAGTAGCATTTATCATGTGAGTATGATCACGTTTTAGACTTGCACCATTGTAACTTTCATATCTGTGCTTCAGTTTTTTGGGTTTGGTTTGCCCAATATGAGGGAATTCCCCAATTTTGTTTGTACATTTTGCTTGATAATGCAAGTAGGGATAGTTGATGGGCATTTTAGCTTGATTGGAGCAGATGAGCGCCCTCTAATTGTTTGTATGTTTTCATGTCTTTGAGACTACAAGGGTAATGCCCCTATGCATTTGTAAATAAATTTTGGATTTCAATGCATGTACATTTTTTAACAGTCTAACACTCTAACTCTTCCTCTTTGAACATCTCTTGAAAGATAAATAATCTCAAATAACACAAAGAGGGTGTCTTTATTCCAGAAAGTGGGATACATACAGAAAGTTAGAATTACATAATACATTGGCATTACACTAACACTGCCACCAAGAACCATTATTCAAAACTGAAATGTTACACTAAACCCACAAAGCCAAGCTTCCAAGCAACTGCTATGATCACACAAAAAATTGGCCCACAGGTAACCTTTCTTGTAGCAAACGTCCTGATAATTGCTTTATCTGCTACACATCTTCTCTTGCGAAATGAGTGCACCTTTCTTGAGTGACTTTCATCGATCTATCACACAGGGGATCAAAACATTGCATATACCCACATGTCATATTGCCTTGTTGATACACCGAATAACCACTTATTGAAATATAGGATTTCTATTACCAAAACACTTTAGTTTTAACACATCATTTGAATGTGTTTTACCTAACAAAGCACATATAAAAAAGTATGACATCAAGTAAATTGAAGTACATACAAAATACACCATATATTAGGAATATGTAGAGAATAATTCTTTGAATGCAAATATCCTAAACTAGCCACAAGTATATGAACATCATGACAACCATTCCAATTATATATTTTTCTCATGTTCTAATACATTATATAAGTAATTATTATAATCAAATGTTTTTTTATCTCTCTTTATTTCTGAGTTCTCTTCTCTGTTTATTTTTCTTCTCATCTAGTAGTCATCTTCCTCAACTCTTCTATGCCATGGAGCTTGTCAATGTATAGTTGTTAGAATATCATTTGTACAAATGCTTGGTACTATGATTTTCATATTAGGTGACTGGATTATTGCTTGTACCTATATCATCTTTGACTGCCTGATTAAAATACTCAAGCCAGTTAAGTTCTTAATTTATGAGATGCATTTACCACTAAACAATTAATCCCATAATCCAAAACACTGTGCAGGACAAAATGTTTTACATTATTATCAAATATACTAAAACACAGGAGGGTGTATAAATACACTAGTTATTGTTTATTTAATTTGGAGGGAGTGATATGAGAGATGAAATGTAGACAAGTGACACATAAAGAATATACTATCTATCATTCTATCCATATTCTTATAAAAGAGATTACTCTACATGTTCTGTTTTTAAGTTCCATTTCAGGTATATGCATATATATATTTGCTGCCTAGTTTGATCATAGAGATGCTGATACATGTATCTAAATATATTTCGTATCCTGGTTTTGTTTTTCCTTAGTACTGCTTAGGTTGTGGTAAGATTTATAAGTAGTTTTGATTTTAGTACCACAAAACATTAGAATATGATAGAAAGAAAGAAACTTGTTGGAGATTGATTTGCTATGTGACTCGTTTTGATAGGTATGCTTGAATGCTTGACAAAATTGAAAATAAGTTACACATCACCAAGGTTCAATATGCATACATTTGTACAATTGAAATTAACATCTTTTTATAAGTTTATCAATAAAGCACCTATGAATTACTTACGGTCATATTTTTATGTGTATATAGGCCAAGTTTTTTTTTTTTTTTTTTTTTTTTTTTTTTTTTTTTTTCATAACCGTGTCTTATTTATTTCGATAGAAAGAAATACAAGAGTAGGAGGGCCAAACCAAGCCTACTCAAAATCAAAGTACATATGGATAACTAATTGCATCAAACTTAAGAATGCCAACAAAGTGATTAAAGTGATGAACATTGGTTTTAGTCGAAGTATTCCGATAAGCTAAATACTCAGCAGCCCTATTAATTTTTGGGTGAGTGTGTTGTATTGTCCAGTTGCAGCCCTTTAGCTTGTATTTGATGTCGTGGATTCGAGACCAATACCAAGTTTTATGTATTTTACACATTTTCTTAACAATAGGATCCATCAACTAGTGTATATGGGCCAAATTCATGTAATTATCATCTCCCAGTTAACAATAAATAATACTGATAATATCAATACCAAATATCAATATTCCTCTCAAATGAAAATTCACCATTCTAACACACAATTTACTAAAATGATTGATAGATACTAACCTTGACAGAAGCTAAGGTGGAGATGAAGAGAGCTGGCACCAACCTCCTAACAACGGACGATGAATGAACAGCGGCAGCAGGCTTCAACCGAGAGGTGGAGGCATACGTCAAGCGAGCGGTGGTGACAGACTTCGAGCGAGCGGCAGCAAGATGTCGAACGTCTGGCGGCGGTGGCGGACGAGATGTGGTAACAGACGAGTTGCGGCAGAGGGTGTGGATTTGGATCGATTTGCGTGACGGCTACTCGATGAAGGAGGAGATGCTCATAAATTAAATCTTAATCTGATCTTCAATCTGGCTAAGTTCTTGATCGGATTTCTATTGGCAATTGTTGTTAAAAGTGAAGATAAAAATGAAATTGGATTTCGAAGGAGCCGACGATTGAATTTCTGGAAGGAAAAAGGTCAAAAAAACGTGAAAAGACGTATATGAATTATTTATTGTTCAGGGTTTGCTGTGCAATTTTCTGAAAATTCTAAACAAAATTGCTTACGTGGAATGTTTTCCAATCATATTTCGCCACATAAGGAATGCACTGATACATTCTTCAACGAGAATGCACCAGAGAGCTACCCATTTGATATTACTAATTTGACCAAAATTCCGTGTTTATAGGATATCTCTACCCATGTGTGGGTAGAGATATCCAATTTGCATATGATTGTCCATTAATATTCCTATCTCATCAATTCATGATATTATATGCAAGTCCAATGTCGGTATATTCATATTAGCGTATTCAATATTGAAAGTAAAACTGAGGATATAGCCTCATTTTGTCTTCTTTATACGAGATCACTCAAGTTATAGGAATATGTTGATAAACAATTTGTATCCCGATGTCATCCACTACCGACAAGATTAACAAATCATATTAAATATTTGGAAAAATGTCAAATAGGCCCCCTACTAATACGGAAAAGTCAATTAAGTCCCTGAACTCAAAAAACACCCAATTAAACCCATGAATTATAAAAAACGAAGCAAAACAGTCCTTTTAGCATGTCATTAGCATGTTATTCAATATTTAGCATGTTATGAATCCCTACAACAAGTCTTCGTGATATACCAAGTATTCTCGTTCACTGGAATTTATGTCCATACTCAGTATGGACTCGTAAGATTGATAAAGTCTTAACTGAATTTGTATATTTCAGTTAAGATCTTATTCAATTCTCATATTTGAATAAGATCCCGTGTTTTTAGGATTATTAAATCAACCGAGTCACGAAGATTGGCTTAAATTTTGAATACAGCATCGGATCATCTCATTTCGAGTTGCAATGGGTTCCCTATGCAAAAATACACAATTCTCGTTAACGACCTGTATTGGGATTCGATATATGGAGAATTCAGGCTTGCAATATGTAAGTCGGTGTTTTGACTCGGTTTGTGGCTGATCGACTTATAAATTTCGAGATTAAGTCAATTGTTTTACACTAGTCTCCAGTTTGTATTTAATAAGATAAGATATTGCAACTATTGTATTTCAACCAAGTCACGAAGATTGACTTAAATTTTGAATACGACATCGGATGATCTCATTTCGAGTTACAATGAGTTCCCTGTGCAAAAATACACAATTCTCCTTCACGACTCAAGTCCAAATTATGAATAGAAAAAAACATACAAGCCTTCAATGTTTTGAGGCTTACTAAATCAACCGAGTCACGAAGATTGACTTGCAAAGTGGATTACTAAGATTGACTTAAAATTTAGTTGTGAATGAGAAAATACTAGGACTTGGGTTAGAGTATCCTGGTATTGTATTCAAAGATCAACACTTATATTATTTGTACTAGTTTCTTATACGCGCTTTGCGCGATTGAGAAAGTGCCCAATGCATTTTTTGTTAGAGAATATGTATATTGAGTAAATTTGATTACTTCTAATTTTTTTCATGTTAACATTTATAGCTATCAAGCAATACAATCAGTTGAAGAGGACGATTGAAGCAAAGATTATAGGTTGGGGTGATGGAGATTCCTTGTTTGCGTGGGTTATCCCTCAATTGATGGCCAATCTTCACTACTACTCTGAGGACAACAAGAATATCACCACAAACTTGCACCAGATGATCAGAATCCTGGGAAGATGCGCAAAGTAGCAACTGATTTTGGGCAAGAACAAAATCCAGAACACCAGAATTTCAAATTCTCAATATTTTGACCGGCACACCAATCAAACCACCAACTTGGGAACCAATAATAAAAAAAAACCTTACTACACTTGCTTGGCACCGGTCCAATATACACCACCTTTAAGTGCTTCATGGGAAGGTTAATGTCACTGATATGAAGCAGAATTTGGGATTGGAAGAAGAGGGGCAGAAGCCCCCGTGGGTTTACCGAAGGCGGGACGGGCTTGAGCCCACCTTCGTGGGCTGGTTACGGGCTGTTTAATTAATATTTATTATTCATTTTATTTTGTTTCCTAATTTAATTTGTTTCCTAGTAGGATTTATTTAGGACTTCTATTCTTATTAGAATTAGAGGTTTCCTATTTCTATTTAGTTTCCTAGAATGATTTAATTAGGAGTTCTATTAGAACTAGAGGTTTCCTATTCTATTTAGTTTCCTAGATTAATTTATTTAGGATTCCTATTCTTATTAGACCTAGAGGGTTATTTATACCCCTTGTATGCTTCATTCTTGATCATCTTGGAATAAAAGTTGGTTTAGCCTTTTGGCTCTGGGCAACGGTATTTTTACCGTTGATTATCGGGCAACGGTTCACCCCGTTGATTTTATTTTTCTGCTTCACAACAATTGGTCCGACCTGCCGGATCCCGTCCCGCCGGAATGACGAGATCTATCAGTAAACATTTGTCAGAGATGGTGGCCAAGCAAATTCGGATGAATCAAACCCTAGAGGAGCACGGCGTGCGTCTGGCAGAGATCGCCGCATCCCTGGCAGCGCTTACCAAGGCGTTCGTTCCGCCAGTCACGACGGAAACAAGCCCTGACGCAGTTGGCAGCCCCGCCGTATTTGCGCCCAGCAGCGACGGACAGCCGCACAACGTCACTTCCTCCTTGACTGCGCTCACAAAGGCTCTCGCGCCGCCAGTGGCGGAGGAGAATTCATCGGATATGGCTTCACTTGACGCGGCAGCAACATCCACGTTCGGAACTGGACTGTGCAACACTTCTCTCACGACGCTGCCCTCGTTTGACGGAGAAGACCCGATCGGTTGGGTTGCTAGGGCTGAGCATCAAATCGAACTGAGCTGTACTCCGCCGGGAAAGAAGGTGGCAGCCACTGTAGTTGTGATGGAAGGGTCAGCCCTGTACCGGTTGACCTCGTTACGAGCACGAAAGCCGGGCATGTCATGGGATGAGCTTACACAAGCATTAGTGGCTCGTTTTGACTCACGGTTTAAGGGCAATTGCTTTGAACGGCTATCCGGAGGCAAGCAGTCAGGGACTATGGAGGAGTACATCTCAATTTTTCCTAAAGATACTAGGCAGCCACCGGGAACAAATGTCAGCCGGTTTCCGGATTTCAACCTTGAGGACAAGGTTTTTTCGAAGGGGGATGGAATTGATATGAAGCAGAATTTGGGATTGGAAGAAGAGGGGCAGAAGCCCCCGTGGGTTTACCGAAGGCGGGACGGGCTTGAGCCCACCTTCGTGGGCTGGTTACGGGCTGTTTAATTAATATTTATTATTCATTTTATTTTGTTTCCTAATTTAATTTGTTTCCTAGTAGGATTTATTTAGGACTTCTATTCTTATTAGAATTAGAGGTTTCCTATTTCTATTTAGTTTCCTAGAATGATTTAATTAGGAGTTCTATTAGAACTAGAGGTTTCCTATTCTATTTAGTTTCCTAGATTAATTTATTTAGGATTCCTATTCTTATTAGACCTAGAGGGTTATTTATACCCCTTGTATGCTTCATTCTTGATCATCTTGGAATAAAAGTTGGTTTAGCCTTTTGGCTCTGGGCAACGGTATTTTTACCGTTGATTATCGGGCAACGGTTCACCCCGTTGATTTTATTTTTCTGCTTCACAACAGTCACAATTTGGGAAGAGCATTTTCTACATCACAAAATGTGCTATCATGGTCTTTTCAACTGATAATGATGACCATTTCGTCATGTCTAGAAAATGTGTCGGCAATTTTTATTGTAGCCTTGGTCTCTTCTCGGATCTTCTGGATTTATAAGTTTATTCAAGAAGTTTAGTTCTAGTAGTAATGTAATTTAAATGGTTTAGTAACTCTATTAAATATATCACTTTCCTAAACATCTAAGTTCAACTACTCATACTTTCACTACACTATAAACGGCTTAAGGCAACACTAAAAATATGTTGCGCTACACCCTAATGTGTTGCCTTAGGAATCTATGGCAACACTTTTCCTATTTTGAAAGTGTTGAAATTTTGGCCGTTGCTATAGATGTCTATAGCAACAAAGTAAAATGTGTTGCCACAATTTTGGCTAGGGCAACAATATTCTCTAGAAAACTAAAAGCAACACATTTAAATGGAAATGCAATACTCAAGATATTGCAACACTTGGAGTGTTGGAGCAACACTTGGCATGCAATATTTTATTATTATTATTATTTAAAAGCCACTGCTTGTATCTCTTGTAGGTCATTTTTAAGTTTTCTTAATTGCAACATTTATTGAATAGGTTCTAAATACTAATGCACCTGCTATGAATTAATAACTTGATTACAATCAATAATCACATGCTGGAATATAATACCAAACATTTCAATTTATCTAATAGCTAGGTCTTAGAAAAAATAATAAATCCACAAAAATCAATCATCCATTCATAAATGTGTCATAACAATTACAATCCAAACAAATGTTCAAAAAGTTCATAAGTTTAAAAGCCAAATACTTCGTATTAATTACTCCAATGTTCTAATCCAAAACTTAGCCAGCCTCCATAAATCGGAACAAAGAGCACGCGTCATCAACACCTGAAACAAAATTAAAAAAACAGGTAAATGAATCCGTAAATGCCAACTATAATTCTTAACTCATTGTTAAAGAGTAAAAATTAAAGATGTGGGCAAAGATACAATTAATCGTTTGCTTTATCCATTTTTATTGTCTAAGCTCTGTTAGGGTACCTTTTTCAGAGCACCTTTTCTATTATTCACTAGTTCATCAACAGTCTTCAACAAAATAAAGCAACAATATAAACTAGATTGAACACACAACAATGTTAATTAATGAAAACAAATTAATGCATACAAATATTATAATAAAGAAATTTAATCGAGTGCCTGCAGCAAACTGTACCTGTGTAGACTATAGAAGGCGGTACTACAAACACATTATCAACAAGTATTTGATGGAGATTGCATAGAGAGCGTGTTTTCGAGCGACTTACTTCCTTTTAATTTCTACCATATTCTACTTCCTGCATTAAAGATTAAAAAATAACAGAAACTTATTGGAAATAAAAAATTAAAGCCTTGCTGCTTCACTGAAATCAAGAGGTTAAACGGTGACATGAAACTGTTGTAAAAGCCTGTGTGTTGAATTGATTGTTATTATGCATTGAACCAGGTATAAGTCATGGATTGAACCAAAATGTAGAGCATTAAAACAACAAAGGCAATGAGAATAAATATAGGTGATTAGAGTCCTCTTTGAAATTTAAACTCTTCACAATCAATAAGAGTTATTAAAATAACACATCCCAAACTACATAAATGGTACCTCCAAGCCTCCATGTCTCCACTCACTGACTCTTCATAATCATTTTGAATAAAAATGCTTTTTTTGCACCACAAAAGCTGCAGTCAATTAGGCAAGCATCTGTATTCTGTAGAATCAAAACTTAAAAACTTAATAAAAGTTGTATTCATATGATGTTCTCTAGGTATGAATCTCATACAGATTTCAGAGCAATGAACATAATTAGAATATGTATAAATGTATAATCCATATCTCATACAGGTTATATACCTAGAGCAATATATAAATGTTACTACATGTGTAAGCCTTTAAAGCCTTGCATTAATGAATTACATAAATGTAGAACAAAATTTACCTTCAAAAGGAAGTAAATAATATCAGGATTCATATTATACTTGCTTCATAAGAAAGTAGGCAGAACAATAGCAGTTGACCCTTTTGAATTCCATATCATTTTATCTCAGAGGACCGAACATTAAAATCCCGAGTTTAGAAGATCGAATGAGAGTATGAGACTAAACTTTCAAATCTGAGTTTAGGCAGAACATCAGGATTTACATTTAGAAGATCAAATGAGACTAAACTCTAAAATCCTGCCCGAATTTTATAACTCGAGAGTGAAGTCCTGGAATTAACTCTAAATGAGACTAAACTCTAAAGTCGGGTTATACTTCAATTCGTGTTATACGCAGGCAATGAGACTCTAAACTTTTACTAAAATTAGACTGGAATCAAGTCGGGTCATACTTCAATTCGTTTGCATCGTCAAATGAGACTAAACTCTAAAGTCCTGCCCGAATTGCAGTGGTTTGTATAATCAAAATCAAAATGCTGAAAACAATAAACTCTAGATTAACAATTTTAAAAACCTGGAATCCGGATATGGAAGTCGGACGAATCTCTGACGAATAGGTAAGCTAGAGCCTGGAAGCCAGTCGTCTCTGGGCTTCGTTGACGGTTGAAGGCCGACGGCCGTCTCTTCGACCGTGAAAGAAGATCGACGACGACACAATACCATGATCCTTACTCTGTGCGTCGAATCTGAAAGGCTCAAGAATGAAACGCCGCTCGATCTTTTTAGGTCTAGCAGACTTGGATATTTTTAGTCCTAAATTTCTTAAAACATTTAGAGCAGGGGTGGGGGGAGGGTTCATTAAATGTTTTATCATTTCCATCCAATATTTTTATCAATCTGAATAATCTAAATAAATACCACAAAGCTATTTTCATTGGGAAATTTTGTACTTTTAATATTATGTAATTAAGAGACTAATAAGTTGTTCTCTTCACTTCAACTTAATGTTTCTGATCTAAAATTTTTAATTTGTGATCTGATTTGATCTGAATTGTTCTGATCTGAATCTTTTTTATCTAAATTTTTCTGTTTGATCTGAATAAAATAAGAATAAGCAATAAATAAGTAACAACAATAAGACAGAGAGAAAAACTTCTAACTTAGAGAAGAGTATGATTTTTAGGGAAGATTTTATTTGATCTATGTTTTTTGAGTCTGATCTGATCTGGTAGATGTTTCATTTCTAGGCAACATTATTTAAAAAATGTTGCATTAGAGTATATTTAACGTTTATACACATATCAATTGCAACACTTATTAAATAGATGTTGCATTAGAGTTATTTAACACCTGTAAACATATCTATGGCAACATTTCTTAATCAACTAGTATAGTACCCGTGCATACGCACGGGAAAGAGCGGTTGGTGTATATGATTTTACTCATGATCTAATTAAATATTAAAATAAAAACAAATTTTTAGGATTCTACATTTTTGAAAAATAATGGTAGATCAATAAGCTAATACCATAAAATATAAGCCCATACAATATATATTCAATGAAGAATATATTATGAAAAATTAATTGGCACTGCTCATTAGAATTTGCTAATTTTTCATTTTCATGATTTAATTAATTTTAAAATTAAATAATATTCTAAAAAAGTGAGTACAATAAGTGAGTGACATGAATTTTAAGTGAATACAATAAATATTAAAATTAATGAACATTAGTTAAATAATTACTTGTCACTCATTAGTAAATTAGTGCTAACATATGTGAGAGAAACTTATCATGCTCAATTCTTAGCCGACTTATATGGTTATACCTAAAACAACTACATATGAGAAAATATTCTCTCACTCAATTGTTAGCCGGATTATCTTATCTTATACCTAAAAGCACTATGCATGAGAGAGAAAATTATACTCCTTAATTGTTAGTTGGCTTATATTATACTAAAAAGAACTACATATAAGATAATTCTCCCGCTCAATTGTTAGCAACATTATCTTCTAATAACTAAAAGTACAACATATGAGAGAGAATTTTTTCGTTTAATTATTAGCAAGCAAGCTTATCTTGTCATATCTAAAAAGACTACATATGAGAGAGAAAATTCTTCCGTTCAAATATTAGTCGGCTTATGTTATTATACCTAAAAGCACTACATATGGAAGAGAAATTTTTCACTCACAACGGTTAGCCGGATTATCTTATATACTTAAGAAGAACTACCCGTAAGAGTGAAAGTTCTCTAACTCAATTGTTAGCAAGTTTATCTTCTTAGCTTCTTCTTATGCCTAAAAGCACTACATATAAGAGAGAAAATTATCCCGCTCAATTGTTTAGTCTTCTTATCTTATACTTAGAACTACATATGAGAGAGAAAGTTATTTCGCTCAATTGTTAGCAAGTTTATCTTCTAATACCTAAAAGCACTACATATGAGCAATAAAATTCTCATGTTCAATTCTCCTTCTCAATTGTTAGCAATCTTATCTTCTAATACCTAAAAGCATTACATATGAGCAATAAAATTCTCACGCTCAATTCTCCTTCTCAATTGTTAGCAATCTTATCTTCTCATACCTAAAAACACTACATATGAAAAGCACTACAATTTTTTGCGGGATTATCTTATACTTAAAAGAACTACACATGAGATAAAGTTCTTGCGCTCAATTGTTAGCAAGTTTATCTTCTAATAACTAAAAGTAGTACATATGAGATAGAAAATTATCCCGCTCATTTGTTAGCCGGCTTGTCTTATACCCAAAAGCACTATATATGGTACAAAAAAAAAATCTCTCTCTCAATTGTTAGTTGGATTATGTTATAGTTAAAACTTAAAAGCACTGATTATTGAGAGAGAGAAATATCTCGTTGAATTGTTAGACGGCTTACGGCTTAATCTTTTTTATATCTAAAAGCACCAC